CATCCAAGAGTTTAGGTCCTGCACTTTATGGGTGGCAGTGAATGTCAGAGTAGGGTGGAAGGACACAAAGAAATGAAGTTTTGTGGAAGTGAAAATTTATACAAGTAATGAGCCTTTGGACGATTGTTTGTGTGGTCTGTGTGTGTGTGACCTGACATCTACTTTTAACTCCCTTCTCTCTCGTGAGACAGAAAGAGAGAAGGATGCAAAATTGGAAGAAGGGAAGCCAAAAAAAAAAAGTTGAAGTCCCAGAAATGACCCAGGGGGCTGGGGAATGACATTATTAATCACTTTTCCACTGAAGCAATCGGCCCTTTGTTCTTATGGGCTAAGTTTTGTAAAGTATTAGGGAAGAACACTTCAGAATCAGTGAACAAAGCAGGTGTTACATTCATTATTTTAAATACTTAGGTTATTGAGAAGTCTAAGAGGGTACATAGTTAGAGGTAGATAACAATCCACAGTGCTTGTACATGTTTACAGATCTACTAGCAGTGTCTGAGAGTTCCAATCTCTCTCTACCCTCTCTACCATTTGTTGTTTTCTGCTTTTAAAAATTGGGCTATCATTGCTGGTATAAGGTGATATCTCATTGTTGCCTTGATTTGCAATTCCCAGATGGCAAGTGGTCATAAGCATTTTTCATGTGTTTATCCACCATTTCAATGTCATTTTGGTGAACTCTCTGTATCTTTGCCCACCTTTGAATTGGATTTTTTTTCTTATTGAGGTATTGTGACTTTCTATGCTTTTAGAGTAGCCCCTGTCCATTGGATCATTGCTAACTAATTTTCCCCTAGTGCACGTATTCTCATTTTACTCTGTTGATGAAATCTTTTGATGTATTTAAGTGTCTTATTTTAATAGGCCCTCGTCATCTACTTGGTTTCTACTGTGAGTGCTTCCTTTGTTATATTTGATAGTATGTACATGCCCTGCACTAGGACCTTGAAATTTATCTGTATGTTCTCATTGATGATTTTTATAGCTCTAGGATTTGCATCTAGGTCTTTGATCTAGCTCGAGTTCATTTTTGTACTTGGGGTGAGGTGTGGGTCCTGCTTCATTCTGCAGATGGAGATTCAAGTTCTCCAGCACATTTGTTGAAGAGGCTGTCTTGTTCCCTCTTAACGTTTTCTGACCCTTTGTCAAAGATCAGGTGCCTACCAGTGATGGATTTGCTATTCTATTCCACTGGTCCACGTACCTATCATTGTGCCAGGACCAGGCTGTTTTGACTATTGTGGTTGTGTAATCGGTTTGGAGGTTGGGTAGTGTGAGGCCTTCTGCTTCTATTTACGGTGCCCTTTGCTTACCCTGGGCCTTTTTCCTCTCTTTATAAAGTTAGTCATTGGTTTTTCCATTTCTTTAGAGAATGAAGTTGGGATTTGGATCGGAATTGTGTTGTATTTATAGATTGCTTTGGGTAATATTGACGTTTTTACAATATTAAGCCTTCCTATTCATGAACGTGGGATATTCTTCCACTTGTGTAGGTTTCTTGGTTTCTTTAATATTTCTGGTTAGGTTTATTCCTAAGAACTTCACCTTTTGTATAACTATTATAAATAGTATTGTGTTCTTTCAGTGGTCTCTTCATTAGTATACAAGAATCTGATTGATTTCTGCTTGTGAATTTTGTTGTTGAGTCTTTGTTTCTAATAATCTTTTTCCTTGATTTGGGGTTTTCTACATATAAAATTATATCATTTTAAAAATCATTATGATCCGTCTAAGTTTGTTCTAGTTTTAAGTATTTTCTGCTTTCTTTTCCTTTGAGGTTTTTATCTGTTTTATTTTGTTATTCTTGTTAGTTTAGTTTGTTTGTTCATTTTAAATGTGTTTCTGTACATGAAATCTAGGATAGGTAAGTCTATAGAGAAAATAACTGCCTAACGGTTCCTTGGAAAGGGAGGTTGGGGAAATGGGGAGCTAATAATGATGAGTGCAAGAGTGAAGAAAAGGTTATAAAACTAATTGTGGTGATGATTGTACAGTGCCTCTTGATGTGATTGAACTACTAAATTGTATGAAATGTGAATTAAATGCCAATAAAACTGTTAGGGAAAAAATGTATCCTTTGCAGATGGTGAAAACTTCCCTGCTTTGCCCTATTGTATTCCTTTTTGTTGTCTAATGGGTCTAGCTAAGACGTCCAGCGCGATTGAAGTAAGAGGGTGACTTGAGCAGACGTCTCTGCTTACCATCACAGAGGGGTGCTTTCAGTTTTCCCCGTTGAGTGAGATGTCGGCTATTGGTTTTTTCATATATGCCCTTTATTGTGTTGGTAAATTTTCCTTCAAACCCTGTTTTGTTGAGGGTTTTTAAAAAAAATTATGAGTGGGTGTTGGATATTGTCAAGTGCCTTTTCTATGTCGATTGATAGGATCATATGGCTCTTATTCTTTGTCTTATTATGTGATGGATTATATTGATTGTTTTCTCATGTGGAACCTGCCTGTGTACCTGGTTTAAATAGCACTTGATCATGGTTGATTACTTTCTGATATATTATTGGATTCTATTGGCCAGGAGTTTGTTGAACATTTGTGTGTCTATGTTCATGAGGGATGTTGGTCTGTAGTTTTGTATCCTTGTGCTGCTATTGCTTGGTTTGAGTATCAGGGTAATGTTCACATCATAAAATGAGTTTGTTGTCCTTTTCTGTTTTCTGCAATAATCCATGTAGAATTGGTGACTGCTCTTCTGAATACGTGGTAGAATCCCCCTGGGAAGCCATCTGGCCTTGGACTCTTCTTGATTGGAAGCTTTCTTACCCCAACAGTTTTATTGGCATATAATACAATTCAGTAGTTCAACACATTAAGAAGAGTTGTACAGTCATCACCACAATCAGTTTTAGAATATTTTCTTCATTCTTGTACTCATCCTTATTAGCTCCCCATTTCTCCCCAATCTCACCTGCCATACCCCCAAGGAACCATTAATCCAATTAACTGTCTCAGTAGATTTACCTATCCTGGATTTCATATACAGAAAGACATTTAAAAAACAAACAACAACAAAATAAAACTAACAAGAATACAAAGTAAAATAGATAAAAAGCTCAATCAAAGAGAAACCAGCAACTATTAAAAACTAGAATTTTCATTCTTCAATAACTACACTTATTTCAAACTTTGTTGGAAGCAGACTACCAGGTAGCAGATCACACCACCTTCATTTCCTGTTCACTGTTGGTTTTCATGCCGTATTTTACCACAAACCCAAACCAAACTCACTGCCATCCAGTCGATGCCAACTCATGGTGACCCTATAGGACAGGGTAGAACTGCCCTTGTGGGTTTCTGACACTGTAACTCTTTACAAGAGTAGAAAGCCTCGTCTTTCTCCTAGGGAGCAGCTGGTGGTTTCGAACTGCCACCAGGGCTCCCTCTTCTTTGCCCCAGCAACTACCAAAACCCCCGCTTGACACAGATATGATGCCACCAGAAAGGGCAGTGTGATTTCCAGTTGAACGTGTAGCAGTGTGGTATACAGCAGATGTCAGATATCACCTTGTTTTACTAAAGAAAAATGTAGGGTGTCCAGGAAGCTTCTGGTGTGTTCTCTGGGCACCTGGCACACAGTTTGGAAACTGGGGGGCTGGAGCAGTGCTTTCCACAGGGGGTGATAACATCCTGGGGCCAGGGGTGGGGATTCTGTAATGATCCCGGGCTGTAGTCCACACGTTTTTCAAGGGGGCAGTGAGTACTTTTTTTAAGGGGCGGGGGCTGTAGGACAAATAAGATTGGGCTAGAGCAGGGATCCTCAAACTTTTTAAACAGGGGGCTAGTTCACTGTCCCTCAGACCCATTGGAAGGCTGGACTATAGTTTTAAAAAAATCTATGAACAAATTCCTATGCACACTGCACATATCTTATTTTGAAGTAAAAAACAAAATGGGTAAAAACACCCGGCGGGCTGGATAAATGTCCTCGACGGGCCACATGTGGCCCGCGGGCTGTAGGTTGAGGATGCCTGGGCTAGAGCTTAATCATTGGCTACCCCTAGCTGCAAGGAGACTAGCAAGTGCAGTCTTTAATTTAGGTGGCCTCTGAGCTGATGAGTTAGATATTAATATTCTTAGTTTCACAGGGATCTCTTGTATCCTCACATATGAATCAGTTCTTGAAGGGCAACTGATTATTACCTCCTTGTAATAATAATAATTCTAATAATGTTCATCATTTGTTGAACACTTGATGTGCAATAGGCATTTGCTAAGGTGTTTTACATGTTTTCCTATAGTACCTTTTGAGGTAGGTACAAGTGTCATTCCAATTATCTATCTACATGTCCATCTCTTTTTCTTTGGTAACACTCCTGCTTGGATAAGCATCTTGCCCCCCAAACCACACAACAGTTAGCTGGCAAAGCAGAAGCCACCAGTCAGATTTTAGCAACTGCTTTCTTAAGCATCCTGCTGTGTGGCCTTTACTGGTTACTGGCTACAAACATACAGAGCAATATTATGTATTGATGCTGGGAGTATTTACTTTTCGGCTAGGCTAAAATAATTGATAGTCATTATGACTTTTTAAATAAGGGATCTCCGGTGGCATAGTGGTTATACATTAGGTTGCTAACTGCAAGGTCAGCAGTTAGAAGCCAGCAGCCGCTCCTCTGGAGAAAGATGAGGCTTTCTACTCTTGTAAAGGGTTACAGGCTCAGGAGCTCATAGGGACAGTGGTACCCTGCCCTAGAGGTTCACCGTGAGTCAGAACCAACTTGATGGCAGTAAGTTGAGTTGAGTATTACTTAAATATCTTCAAGGAAGTTAAGGATTAAGTAATTATAGTGCCATGAAACTAAGCAAGCATGAGGAAGAGCAGAGACTTGTTCAGGGTCGCTCCCACATTCTAGTCGGAGGTAATGTAGCTAGAAAGGGGGAAATCAGTGGTACATATCCCGACTGGATGTTAGTCAAAGCCCCATAGCAATAGGGACAAGACGTGAAAACATTTGCTGATATCTTGACAACCTGTTTACGTTTCAGGTGGCCGAGGGAGAGACGGTGCCCCCATCATCACTTTCCCAGAGTTTGCGGGGTTCAAACACATCCCAGATGAGGACTTCCTGAATGTCATGACCTATCTGACTAGCATCCCCAGGTGAGCTCCAGCCCAGGTTTGCACGGGTTTTCTCTCGCACGCATTTCCCACGTGGCCGAGCCGCAGGTTGAGACAAGTCTTTCCTGAGCAGATCTCACACTGGGATGTAACATGGAGAGCTTCTCTCATCCATAAGCCATGCTCATGGAACATGAGAAGACACTGGAATGCCCTGATAAACGGTGTCCGTTTTGCTGCTACTGAGTTGGCACAGGACCACCCCGAGCACAGTGGAATGAAATGAAATGCTGCCTGATCCTGTGTTGTCCCCAGGATCCATGGCAGACTCAACGGTTCTGATCCATAGGTAAGATTTTTCAGAAACACAAAGGCTCTTCAAAAGTTTGTGGAAAAGTTCCTTGATCTTTTCATTCCGTTTTCCACAGACTTTTTAAAGTCCCCTTGCAGGCCACCTGGCCCTTCTGAGCACATCTTAGCATGGAAGCACTGCTGAAACATATTCAGTATCATAGCAACACACAAGCCTCCACTGACAGCAAGGTGGTGGCTGCACACATACGAGGTGCACTACGTGGGGATTGAACTTGGGTTTCCTGAGTGGGATGAGAGAATTCTACCCCTGAAGCATGACTGCCTTGTTAGGAGCCAACGAGTTAGTTCCAACTGCCTGTGACCCTGCAGAGAACAGGAGGAAATGCAGCTCAGTCCTGTAGAATGTGTCCCACAGCTACCCATTCAGTTTTCAGTGGCTACTTTTTAGAAGTGGTCCTTCTTCCAAGTCTGTCTTTGTCTGAAACTTCCACTGAAACCCATTCCTCCATGGGTCATCCTGCTGATAGTTGATGTTCTGTGTCTGTAGCTTCTAGGATCAGAGCAGCTTGCAAACCACAGCAATATGACATACTTACAGAAATGGGGTGGGGTGGTGCACTCAGAAGGTATTTAATAAAAAGTATTGAGGGAATGAAAAATGGATTGATCAGCTGGTACTGACTTTCTCTACATTAAAGTTACTCGGGGATCTTGGGTCATGCGGTGTAGGGCACATGGCTGTTCCTCAAGCCAATAAGGGTTTATTTAATTTAGCTCCTTAAAATACGAAAATTAGAGACAAGCTTATACCTCTTATTGTCTGACGGGAAACTAAGGCACAGAGCAAGAAAACAATAGGCCAGATGTCGAAACTCTGCTGGTGGCTGAAATGTTTTGTACAATCTCCCATTTACGGAGACTAGATCTTAGCTATATTCTGCCTCCTGTGTCAGTGTATATCCAGGTGTGTCAGTCTGGGTAAACTAGGGAAAAAATCCACAGAAACTCATATGTATTAGAGAGAGAGTTTTGTATAAAGGGTAAGTGTATATTAAGAAAGCATCCCAACCCAGTGTTGCCCAAGCCCATAAGTCCAACATTAGCCTTTATGTCTGACAATCTGCAAAGTCCTCCTCCATCTCACAAAACACAAGTAATGATGCCAACTGTAGGAGGAAAGCCGAATCAGTGAGTGTGTAGGCATCTCAGCGCTGGCAGGGGTCTCTACACGGCTGCTCTAACACCTAGGGCTGCATCGGGGTAGGTTCATGTGGCTTCTCGGGGATGTCTTGCAGGAAGTGAGCCTTGCCAGCTGAAGCAGGGAACTGGCTAAGGAAGCTGCACCCTGGTCCGATGATTAGAAAGTAAGAGACCCAAGAACTAGAAAGGCGAGGGTCACCAAGCCATTTATCTCTCTGCCTTTCAATTACTCCCACATGTGTTTACCAGCCAGGTTGACACAATAAACCTTAACTTATCTCACCAGGTCTCATGGGATGGAGTGTAAATAGCATTTGCATTGGTCATAACTGTTTCCGGGTTCCCCCCAAGGCAGATTAAATGCTGAGCTGACTGAAAAGCTGGTGATTCGAACCCCCAACCCAGCGGCTCTGGGGAAGCAGGACCTGTTGACCTGCTCCTGTAAAGATTCCAAAACTCAATCCAAACTCACTGCCACCAAGTAGAAGGACCTCTGTGAGTTTCCTAGGCTGTAACGCTTTATGGGCGTAGAAAGCCTCAGCCTTGTCTCGAGGCGCAGCTGATGGTTTGAAACTGCTGACATTGTGGATTGCAGTGGAACCTGTTCCTACTATGCCACCTGGGCTCCTCCAGGCTCCATTAGAGCCTAGAAAGGCCCACAGAGTGCAGTTCTACTTTGTTGCCAGGGGGCCCTATGAGTTGATCATTGATGTGATTGCACCAAACAGCAAGAGTCAACAACACAGACAGCTCTGGGAGGTGGGTCCCAGTCCTGATCCCCAGTCACTCTACAGAACAGATGGGCCCGGAAAAGCC